CGTCTTCGCTTAACAGTACCAGATCATCAGCATAGCCCAGCACGGATGATGTCCCGCCCAGATCCAACCCTTTCTCAGTTCGCATTACCTCCCTAATGGCATGTTCTAATGCCAAATTGAACAGGACAGGCGAAAGAGAATCCCCCTGTTTTAAGCCCGAACGAACCTCAAATTTTTCGGACAAATTATTACCGATTCTAACTTTATTGAGTGTCTCCGTCAAGCACATCCTGACTAGATTTACTAGTTTTTTTGGAATCCCCTGCTCGATTAGAATATTATACAGTTTCTGGCGGTCAATAGAATCGTAAGCCTTTTTAAAATCTATATACAGCTGGTGAACAATACCGTTATACTCCAATTTTTTCTCTAATATTTGCCGTAAAGAAAATAGATCTCTATCCATAACTTGTCAATATCCTCGTGGTCCTCATCAGGAAGCTCTAAAGTTTCAAACCTATTCTTAACATCTAGCTCGAATTGGGTTCTAATTGATGATTTTTTTAATTTTTCCAAATTAAAATTCTCAAACTCGAAACGGTTTTCTTTTCTCTTCTTTATATTAAGTTTTTGTCGAAGTTTCGCGATTACTAATTCATGATCTGACCCACATTCTGCTCCGTGATAAGACCGTACATTAATTATACTGCTTTGCCAGCTATGTTGTATCAAGACATGATCGATTTGATTTCGGGTTTGCAAATCCGGTGATGTCCAAGTATATTTATGAATATCCTTATGTTTAAACGTCGTACTTTTAATTATCAGGTTTTTCGAGATGGCAAAGTTTATCAGACGGATCCCATTATCATTACTATATTCGTGCAAACTTTCTTTACCGATCGTCGGAATATAAACTTCCTCCCTTCCTACCTTTGCGTTCGCGTCACTTACAATTATTTTCATTTAGTTTCGCCGTAGTTTATCATAAACCCATTCGAGTTTATCGTAAAATTCACTTTTGACTTCATCGTCACTGTCTTCCGTCGGACAATGTATGTTTATTAATGCGATTTTAAACCAACGTCCCTGAAATATAGCTACCGAAATTCTATCACTAAAGAATTGTACGTCCCTCAAAGTGGATAGTAATCTATTCCTAATTAGAAACCCGGTACCTAAACAATGATTACCGCTTCCTCCGTACCAAATAGTGTACTTTCCTTCCCTCATCGAGCCCTCCCCTGGCCAGCGAACCCCTTGCAGAGCCACGCCATCCAAATTGTACCCATTTACCTCATTCACGACCGATTTTAGCCCCCCTTCTGTGTTTAAACTCCTTACGTTCCACGTACCAATATTTAAATCCCTATATTTCAACTTGCGCCATGAATCCCCTAAAGCAGTCTCCACCCGGAGACCCGAACGGGGGACTAGTTTACCTCGGGATAAAGAGCGTTTTATCTTAGGGAGATCCATGACTATTTGTGGTGTTTGGTGAAGTAAAGGTATGTGAGTAGGGCGTTCAATCCTACGTCCACCCTCCAGCAAGTCTGGAGGTCCCCTCCCTCCAGCATGTCTGGAGGGGCCCTCTCATTGTTGGTCAGCGAGTCCATCGGACTTAGCTGGGAGGAACTTCCGAGGAATTTCCACCGACCATCCCCTCATCCGCCACCCGCTGGACGCTCCCCATACGCGGTAATGAGTCCGCGCGAGGAATGCGGGGAAGCTGGAGTTTCTAAAATACATCGGTTGGTTAAAAAGATCTTGGTGAATGAGAAATTATCTGAAGAATGGATAGAATCTATTCTTATTCCGATTCACAAAAAGGGCCCGAGGACTGATTGTAATAACTATCGAGGAATTTCACTCCTTCCGGTATGTTATAAAATATTCACTTTAATCTTAACCAGTCGAATCACGGAATACGCCGAGGAAATTATCGGAGACTACCAATGCGGATTTAGACGGAATCGTTCGAATATAGATCAAATATTTTCTTTACGGCAAATATTAGAGAAAAAATTGGAGTACAACGGTATTGTTTACCAGATGTATATAGATTTTAAAAAAGCTTACGATTCTATTGACCGCCAGAAACTGTATAATATTCTAATCGAGCAGGGGATTCCAAAAAAACTAGTAAATCTAGTCAGGATGTGCTTGACGGAGACACTCAATAAAGTTAGAATCGGTAATAATTTGTCCGAAAAATTTGAGGTTCGTTCGGGCTTAAAACAGGGGGATTCTCTTTCGCCTGTCCTGTTCAATTTGGCATTAGAACATGCCATTAGGGAGGTAATGCGAACCGAGAAAGGGTTGGATCTGGGCGGGACATCATCCGTGCTGGGCTATGCTGATGATCTGGTACTGTTAAGCGAAGACGTTGAAACTATAAAACTAAATACGACAACGTTAATGAAAGCCGGTAAAGAACTAGGACTCGAAATAAACGTGGATAAAACAAAATATATGGTTAGCTGCAAAAATGGCGATACTACTGGTGATATCGATATAGATGGTAATATGTTTGAACAGGTAGATAAATTTAGGTATCTAGGTTCTACAATAACTAGAAAAAACGAAATTGAAGAAGAGATTAAGGTTAGACTGAAGGCGGGGAATGCTTGTTATTTTTCTGTGACAAAACTACTTAGTTCGCGCCTCTTGTCCCGAAACTTAAAAATTAGAATCTATAAAACAATTATCTTGCCTACAGTTCTTTATGGATGCGAAACTTGGCCGCTTACATTAAGGGATGAGCAGCGTCTTAAGGTTTTTGAAAATAAAGTATTGCGTAGAATATTCGGACCGAAGAAGGATGAGTTAACCGGAGAGTTCAGACGGTTACACAACGCCGAATTGCGTGAGCTGTATCCGAGTAATATAATTGAGGTAATTTCATCGCGGTGAATCAAATGGGATTGTAAAGTTGTTGGGCTTAGTAACGAGAGAATTCCTAAAAGGTTAATATTTGCTGTACGGAATGGTAAGCGTCCGAGGGGTAGACCGAAGCGAAGGTGGGAAGATTGCATTAAAGCTGATCTGGAGGGACTGGGTTTGGACGGCGAACGGTGGAGGGAGGTGTGTAATAAGCGATTGGTGGTGTCGGCATCGAACCTTCGTATTCGCCAAGCCTTTTATTATAATTTCTATATTATAGTCGAAAATATAGGGGGATCCAAACTATAGCCCACGAAAATTACATGGTCAAATTAAAAAAAAAAACATTTAAAAAATCACACAAACAGAAGGTTACTAAAACATTTATTGCATGAGCTATTTCTCTTAGAAACCTAATTTCACCATTGAAGTGTCATATATAGAACAAGTTTTTTATTTTCAACACAAGCCATTGCCTGGAGTGCTTAGTGGAGGTCTCAATGCGGCATGCGGAACTTGTTGAAGGTCTCAATGTGACACATGGACCAAGAAGTTTGGAGTTCCTGGTCTAAAATATTAAGTCAAGAAGAAGAGAATAAAACTCCATAAAAATGTCCCATAAAAATGTCAAACAAAAGATCAAAATATACAGATTTATGAGATTTATTATCAAACCATCAAACACTTTCATCGTCATTAAAATCCAATGAAATTATTTATGACTAGTAGGCCCCTGCAAAAAATACGCACAGCATATAGTTATCAAATGCCAAATTAATAAGAAAATAAAAAAATGCAACGTAGCAAAAGATTAAGACATCAAATGTTACTTTATCAATAAATATAATCCACAAAGCAAACAAAAATTAATTTAAATCTTCATTTTTGTTTGGAACCAACATGTTTACTAATTTCAGTAAGCTGTAGATTTGCTAAAAATTGTCCGATTTCGATGACTTTTTTTTCCTTTTGTAGGGAATTTAGTAATCTTTTATATAATCATGGGCATAACCAGGGGAAAAGTGTGTAATTTTTCAGTTATTCGTAAATAAAGTTTAATTTCTTTCATAACTTGTTTGCCTGAATTTTCTGGGTGATTGGACTATTTTGCCTGCCTGAAGGAAAAGGAAGCTTTTGTGGCTCAATCTTGGGATTTGGTGCAAAATTAACGATGATATGGCTTGCCGATCAAAAACACCATCGATAAATAATATGAACTCCTCTCTCGATCATAGAGACCTCAAGTCGACGAAATGAGACATGTATTCAATGACAGTACTACAATTAATGTAAGGTTGTGTGGATGCGAACCCTATGCCTTGCGTTATCTCGAAAATAGTACGTTTTTGGGCTTGCTGTATGCATCAAAATCTTCAAGATCCAATTTGTCCCGAATCGATCTACAGACCTGCCACCGTTCCAGTATTGAAACTTAGCAAAATGTTTGTATCGACTTTATTTATTTCAGAAAGAAAAACAAAAGTGGAGAATACGATTCGCTAACCCCCCTGAAATTCTGAATCCAACGGTGCCCCATTCATGGTATTAGAGCATGATAGGAGCTTATATTTGGTACAAAACCGATTTTGAGCCTTACTGTAATAATATATGCGGAGATTGGCTAAAAGGGAAGGGAAAAAATAACTCTGCATAATTTAATAAATGAATTGGTTCACAAGGTATCTTTGAAACACTACTTCAGTTAGAGGACCTAGCCTTGGTAGCTCTGATGCATAAGTAAAGAGTCTTGGAGTTAAAATAACTGGTAATTCTTAAATATCTATAAATCAAATGTTTTATTTATATATGTATTAAAGGCAGTCATTCTAATATCATTGGTTAAATTACACTGTCCTTGCAATTGAATCTGGTAGGAAATCATAGTTATTGTTGAACTTAACAACCAATCAAAACTTCATTCATCTATAAATAATGATAGTAATTTTATTAATTTAACAAGTCATGGCTATGACTTAGTTTTCCCAGAATTCTGCAGTACCTAATAAAATTACAAGGTAATCTATAATTAAATTTTACTTTAATAAACCAGTCGATAACATATATTTAAATTTTTGTTCCTAACATTATCTTTAAAAAATCATGTTGTTCATGAATGTATATAAAGTTAATTTATTATGTAAATAAATTATTTCATACTGAATATATTTAGTATGTACCGTCACACTTGTAAAGTTTGCGTACTCTGCGAATATCACTCTGGCTCAGTTGGTATTTTCTCCATAATGGGCCAATCAGTGCTTTTGACTTGGTCTCTATTGTTGGGGATTTGCCATCCTAAAATGCAAATGTGATAAGAATCATTTAAACTGTTGTTAAATTTATCTATATATTGTAATAATCAATCTTTCATTGGAGTATAAATAGGTAGTATTAGTGAATTTATATTGGTTTTAGTTTCAAGCCAATATTGATTGAAGTAAAGATAAAAGTATTCTGGAGTTGTATTTGGTCAATGGTATAGTATAGGAATTTCATTTAAAATTAAGTTGAATATATTTTTTCATTTTAAGTTTATTATTTTATGTAAATGTATTGTACTAGAATAGTTTGTTTTGATCTCGAAGAAGGAAGCTACACCAATGTAGCAAATTATGTATAAAAACAAAATTAACTGTTATCCATGGCCATTGCACAAATATTAAATAGTAAATTTTCTTTTTTGTTTTAAAGACAAATGATTTTATTAAACACTTGTAAAATATGCTGTAAATATATATTTTTTTTTATTGTTTAAATTTTCTAACTTAAGAATCTAAAAACTACACAATGTTAGTGTTCACTATTAATTACACTAATCTAAATTTTATTAAAAATATATATAATTCTTTATAATATATTACATAACGGTTAAAAGCATAATATAAAACAATTTAAAAACTAAAATATCAAAATAATACCATCTCGTAATTAGAATAACTACAACATTCTTGAAAATGTTAAGAAAATTAAACGCAAATGAATGTGAAAATGAACATATAGTAGCAAATAAGAAACAAGCAGTTTATAAATGTATTATAAATATGTTTAGTGGGCAGCAAAAGGTTCCATTCCATGCATTGATTGAAATTTAAAAAATCAATAAAAACAATTATTGATAAACTAAATAAGTGATATTTATTATATTTTATCTATATATGATTTTTTTTTACAAAACCCCTTTTTATTCTCACAGTCTTTTATTATACATTTGAAACATTCTTACAATATTTAAAAATTACTATTTTTTAACGTTTCATCTCCAAGAGCCATTTTAAAAAATTCTTTTTAAAAACAAACATTAGTCATATTAAAACATTATTTATAAAAATTTCTTAAAATATATCTGTATGTAGAATAATACTCTATGGTTGTACTTGTTTTACTAAATCTAAAATGTTTTGTTTTATTTTTTTTTCCTCTGAAATTCCACAAAATTTCTCTTCTTTACGTCATTTTAACTTCACTGAGCTATAGTCTAGACTAAATTTTTGATAAAATGAGGAAAATAAGAGATATTTTGTGGAATTTTGAAAGAAAAATAAAACAAAACATTTAAATTTAATAATTACCGGTAAACTATCAAACATTGATTTATCAATAGCTTCCCCATCTATATCTCCAAGATTTGAATGGTGCACTTTCGACGATACATACGGTAGCGACCATTTTCCTATCCAAATAAAATTTCTTGATAGAGTTCCTACTAAAATAAATCATAGCCATTGGCTCATTAAACATGCAAATTGGGAATTATATCAAAACTTAACAGATTCTCTAAATTTACAGATTTCTGACCAGACTGTATATTGCAAATACAAAATCATCCTACAGACAATAACTCACGCTGCACAATGTTCAATCCCTAAGAGTAAATCAACGAATGGAAAAATCTCAGTCCCGTGGTGGTCGAAGGAATGCAGCAAAGCTGTCAAAAATAGAAAAAAAGCTCTGAGAAAATTCAAAAACCACCCAAACTCAGTCAATTATGAAAAATATATCTCTTGTAGAACTCATGCAAGGTATGCCATAAGAAATAGCAAAAAGAGATGTTGGCAGGACTTCATTGGTCAGATAAACATAAACACCCCAATCGGGGAAGTTTGGGACACTGTAAGACGGATCATGGGAAGAAAATGCGCGTCCACTCCCAACCTCTTAATCACTCGAGATAGAGTCACCACAGACCCGATAGCTCTTGCTAACTCCTTAGGTGAACACTTTAGACTTTCATTTTCAAATATATCTTATAACTCCTCAGGTACAAATAGCCCATATCACGAATATATCCTATCACAACACAAAAAAAGGGAAACCAAAAGAACATTTATCTAGTTACAGACCGATCGCTTTGACTAGCTGTCTATGTAAACTCTTTGAAAAAATGGTTGCCTTTCGACTAAAATGGTATCTCGAAAGTAAACATCTGTTAAATATTTGGCAAAGTGGATTTCGTGCTGGTCGCAGCACTGTTGACAATATAATAAAATTAGAAACAGAAATATTAAATGCGAGAAATTCCAAAAACCATCTACTAGCAATATTCTTAGACATCGAAAATGCCTTTAATTGCGTTAGAAGCAATGACATTATTAAAGCATTACTTAATATGGGAATAAACGGTGAAATCCTAAGATTCATTAAAATTTTTCTAAGTAATCGTAAATTTAAAATGAAGTGCAACACAGCAATATCTACAGATTTTGAACAGCAAAACGGAGTACCTCAAGGTTGTGTGCTTAGCCCTATATTATTTAATGTGGTCATAAATAAAATTGCAGAAGAAGTTAAATTTCCAGTAAAAATTCTACTTTACGCAGACGATTTAGTATTATACATGAGTGGGAAAAATCTGCCCTACATCCATAGCTCTATACAGAACACCGTTAATAGGGCTGTTGCGTGGTTCGCAAATAAGGGGCTCGTGGTATCCAAAACGAAGTCCCAGGTAATATTATTCACGAGACACAGAAATCCAAACGTAAATAATATTAAAATAAACGAAGAGCCAATTGAATATTCTCAAAGTGTTAAGTACCTGGGAATAACATTTGATAAAAATCTGACGTGGGCAACTTATATAAAAAAAATCAAAAGTGAATGCCTGCAGTCACTCAATTTGTTAAGAACGGTCAGTTGCCATTCATGAGGAGCTGACAAAACAAGCATACTTATGTTATACCGGAGCCTCGTCTTAAGTAAACTTATTATGGCAGTATAGTTTACGATTCAGCCAGTGAAAATACCAAAAAAATGTTAGTCCCAATCCAAAACACCGCTCTTAGATCAGCTTTAGGTGCTTTTCGTTCTAGTCCAACGGTAAGCCTACACGTGAAAGCAGCAGTTATGCCTTTGGATTTTAGAAGAAAGGCACTTTCTCTTTCCTATTTCATAAAAGTAATTTTTCGCCCCCAGCACCCTCTAAATCGTCTGTTTTCTAAAGACATAATCTTACTTCAAAATCACAAAACATACCGCCCATCGTTCCCAGAAAGATGTAAATCCTATCTCACTGACTTAAACCTAGCACTACCATCCATACCAAAATTCGAAAATCCAAAAATAGAACCCTGGTCACTCCTTATCCCTAAACTTAACAAAATAAAATCAAAAGGCAATTCTCCGATTATACCGTTAACAGATTTCAATCGCTTCAAAAACGCCCATCAGGAATGGACATTTATTTATACCGATGGGTCTAAACGCAAAGAAGGAGTAGGCGCTGCTATGGTGATGGGAAATAATCATATAATGTTATCCCTTCCTCAGATTTGTAGTATCTACACCGCTGAGCTATCTGCTCTAAACCGCGCCGTAAAATTCATTGACGCTAAACTAGCCAGCCGCGTCGTGATTTGTTCAGATTCCAAATCTGCCCTTATATCGATACAGGACCCTTTTTCTCAAAACTGGTTAGTTGTCGATACTCTAACTAAACTTAAAACATTGGAAATGGCTGGATGTATGGTAAAATTTTTATGGTTACCAAGTCATGTCGGGATCAAAGGCAATGAGATGGCAGATAGCATGGCCAAGAGAGCTATCAAAGAAGGTCAACCTATCATCACCACTCAACCTTCTGAAGTTGTCTCTTTAATCAAAGAAAAATCATGGTTGGCGTGGCAAATAACTTGGTCTGCCACTAGAGATAATAAGGTAAGGGTTGTGGAGCCATACGTCTGGAGAGTCACTCCATATATCCTACTGACCAGAAGGGAAGAAGTGGTACTGACCCGGCTAAGGATAGGACACACTAGGCTTACTCACGAGTACTTAATGAGGAAAGACTCTCCCACTCAATGTCTTTCCTGCGGGGTACCTCTTACAGTGAACCATATCCTAACCGAATGTTATGCATTCCAATCTTCTAGGGATCAACATCTTCTCAGAAATAGCCTTGAAGAATCACTCCAAAAGGACCCCAATGCTATTAAAAACTTAATATTGTTCTTTAAGGAAATCAAAATATTTAACAAAATTTAATCACACCTTGTAATTGTAAATGTTAAGTTTTTTAAGTTTGTAGGTTCCTCTTTAAATTGTAAATATATCTGTTAATTTTTTTTCTTTTAATCATAATTTTTAACTACAATGGTTTTTTAAATTTTTCTTCTTGAAATTTTTAATATTTAAATTGTACTTCCTAACTTTTCTTCTTTTAATATTAATTTTGTTTTTTTCAACTTTAACTTTGTTTAATTTTAATGGTGCTTGTACTTTCTAATGTTTAAACTGTATTCTTTAACTTCGCCTCTATTAGTATTAATTTTTATTATTTAAACATGTATTTTTTAGCTTTTATTCTTAATATCATTAATCTTTATTTTTATTGCGTCTGTTATCTTTTTTTCTATTAAATCTTTAAGTTTAAATTTTTATAATTTTAGTTCAATTGTTATATCATAATCATCTGTAATTATTCTTAACTTTTCAAACTTTAAATTGTATTTCTTAACTGCAGTTGAGTTATGTGTGTAGTAATTCATCAAATTGTAAAATAGGGCGAAAATGACCCAAGTGGTTGAAGAGCCCAAAACATGTATAAATAAATAAATTTAATAAAACAAGCACTAACATAGAGTATTATTCTATATACAGATATATTTTAAGAAATGTTTAACAATAATGCTTTTAATATATCTTTTTTTTTTTTTTTTTTTTTTTTTTTATTGAAAAATATTACAATCTGTCTCAAGGACATTTATAATAGTGTTAACAGATCCCATTCACACTCTATGTACAGTAAATAAATGTTTATTTTTTAAAAGAAAAAGAATTTTTGAAAATGGCTCTTGGAGATGAAACGTTAAAAAATAGTAATTTTTAAATATTGTAAGAATGTTTCAAATTTATAATAAAAGACTGTGAGAATAAAAAGGGGTTTTATAAATAAATAAATTAAAAAAAAAAATCATATATAGAATAAATTTAATAATTATTAGAAAATCTCATAAAAACTCTGAACTCTGGAGAAGAGTTTCGTGTTTATTTAGATAATTACTGTATATAGCAGCCATTTCAGTGTATGTAGAGCTTGGGGCTAAGGGTTCCTATCTCAATAAAATTTGTATGTTTGTTCTGTACCCATTTTCTCAGAACTGGCCTTAAGATTCTACAAAAATAACAGCAGGAATAAATTAGAACAATTAAGAAAACAAACCAGACCAGATAAGAAAAGTAGGTTGGCTTTTATCAAAGAGTTTAAGAAAAAACCTGAAGGTTACTTGAGTGATGTCATCATATATTCAGATGAGATCAAATTTAATATCGATAGTTTGGAGAAATGCTGGAAGGGAATTAGAGAAGTAGAATTTGTCTGTTACAAAGAAAAATGGAGTCAGTACTATTCTTGTGAGGATAAATATGTTTGCATGAGGAATCAGGAATTGGATTTTTATTGATGGAGTAACCGAGAAGTATAAATTTAAAAGAAATGAAAAGGAACTTTAAAGACTGGTCTCATTCATTCCTGCTGTTATTTTTGTAGACTGTTAAGAATGGTCATAAAATTGTCATCACATAAAATTTCAGGTTCTGCTATATTAATATGATTATTATAGTATAGTAATTATATTATAAATAGTAAGTATGTGCATCAAAACCTAAATCTTTACCCTTCCTCTGATTATTTAAGTAACATGGAAAATATATCTATTTTATGATAGTTTTTAATTTCAAGTTGCAATATTTTGTAAGTAACCTGAATAAACTATATTTACTTGAATATTTACTTTACAAACTGGTTATCCAGAAGATTAGTATGTCACAGAAACTTAATTACTTAATAATGCAATCAAAAGGGTTTAATTAATTAATGTAATTAAGTTAATTAATGATATTATTTGTTCACATTTTTAAAATAATTTTTGCAATTGTTTTGTTTATGTATACACATATGAGTCAAACGATGGTTCTTCTGTTAAGAAAGTCCACTAATTTTCTTTTAGCAGAATTAGAAATCAGAAAAGTATCAACAGTTAAAAAATATTTCACAAATCACAATTCAGTCAATTGATAGTTGAATATACCTTACAGAAGAAGGTCATCCAGAAAGTAACCAAGTTATTCTAACCAGCTTGGGAAGGTAGAGATTCATTCCATGGTTTTGCCACAAAATAAATTTCAACCTACCCAGGCCAGATTTGAATGAATGAAATGATGAAATGAATAAATGAATGAAATGAAAAAATAATTTTATTCTGAGACTACAGTTCTCTAAGAATAACAATAACATGGTACAAAACATTGGTCCTTTAGTCTGATTTGAAAAAATACAAAGAGGTCATTTGAATGTTAATTTCACTTATTATCGCAATCATACCTGAACAACAATAGTAAATACACTTTAACACTTGTACATTTTATATGGTTTACATACAAAGAAAAAGTAAATAAAATCAAATGAAACTTGTCTATTAATTGTTAGTGAGCAGTTGTAATTACAGAATCCAATAAGTATTACATAGGTACAGAAGTTTGAAGATGAAGTAAGTGGTGGAATAAGAGTTGTTTGAAGGAATTTAAGGATGAGGATTACCGTTTGGTGATATGTAAAGAATTCCAGAGGAAGGTACCACAGATGATGAAGACATTGCTGAAGGATGTAGTTTTATGAGGAGGGATATATAAATCCATAGGTTGAGATCTGGTATTAAGTGAGTGGATAGAGGAATGTAGAGTGAGAAGTTCCATGATATAGGGAGGATTTTTGGTTCTTAGGACCTGGAAAAGGAAAACACGAAGAAAGAATTGTCGTTGGGAAGAAGGATAGAGCCACTTCAATTCGGTATACCAGTTGGAAACATGAGAACTCCTGGGAATTCCAAAAATGAATCTTATAAAACAGTTCATAAGACTTTTCAATTTCACTTCCAGTATTTCAGGCAGCCCTCCATACACCAAGCAATCATAGTCAAAGTGAAGGAAAATGAGAGAGGGTACAAGGAGCTGTCTGGTTTTTTGAGGAATAGAATCACTGAATCTTAGAAATTGTTTAAGGACAATTATGGATTTTCAGATTATCTGGGAAATATGGTTATTCTAGGAAAGGTTCTGATCAAAGATAAATCCTAGATTTTTGACTGTTGGGAAAATATGGATGGGGCAGTTATTAAGGTAGAGTAGAGGAGAGAAGGAAGGGAACTAATGAGATGCCTGGAACTGATGAGAATAGCCTTAGTTTTATCTGCATTCAGCTTTAAATCATTTATTTCTGCTCATCTGTTGATGCAGTCAATATCCTCTTGCAGCTTTTGGGTCTTGTAGCTCTCTAGTAGCTCAGAAGGATGGAAAGATTGGTTAATTTGGAAATCATCAGCATATAAGTGGTAATGGGAGTGATTAATGGAGTCAGGAAGATTACTAATATAAATAGAGAAAAGGGTCGGAGAGAGTGAGGAGCCCTGAGGAACACCTTGTGTTAATTGTAGGGGTGATAATGCAGATTTATCAGGAATGATAACTGTCTATGAGTGGTGGGATAAGGAGTGGAACCATTTTAGAACACTATTTGATATGGAACACTATTTGGCAGGCTTTGGAGTTTGGAAAGCCTTATGGTTGACGGAAGCAAAGGTTTTTGAAAAGTTGAAAAGGATTAGGATAGAAATTTTTTGTATATCTATGGAGGATTGTAGGTCTTGAGTAATCTTTAGCAAGGCAGATTGGATAGAATAATGGGAACGGAAACCGGATTGTAATAGATTGAGAAGACGGTTTTGCTCAAGAAAGTTGTTAAACTGAGAGTGAAATATTCTTTTCAGTGGCTTGCATAGATTGGATAAAATGGAGATGGATCTGAAGTCGGAAGCTGAGGAAGGAGCAGGTACTTTGTTCAACGGGCAAACAAGGGCTCTTTTCCAGGCTCAAGGGAAGATGAAATTTTGAAGAGAGAAATTGTATATGTGCAGCAATGCGGGAAAAATTAGGCTGGAAGGTAGAGTTTAATGATTTTAACAGGTATTTGTTCAGGCCCATAATCGTTGGTTTTGGATTCAAGGATGGCATATAATAGGTCTGTGAGAGAAATATCAAGAAAATAAAACTTATCGGATCTACTTGGGTACAGGTTTTGGAGCTGACGATAGAGACGTTTTTCAGAATTTTCCATTTGGATTTAGGGTTAGGTGCTTGGGATAAAATATTATTAAAGTATTGGGCTTTGGCATGGCGAAGGGATATTTGTGGAAGGAGCCAATGTGAATAGACACAAGATTGTGACAACTTAACACTCTCAGTCATCATAGTATCTTATGTTCTGTTTAATGGAATGATGTAGCTATTTAAATTTAATTATTTAAATACTTACTTTAGAAAAAGCGTATTCATCATACATCATGACTGACTTCAGGTCAAAGGTCTCTCCCAAAGTGTCAACACTTGCCACCGAATTTTTCACAAATGCTGAAGTAAAACCCTAAAATAAAATCATAATGAGTTTGATGAATTATCATTATTTAATGAAAATAAAAGCTATTAAACATATTGTTGTCTTACTATAAAAACTCAATCTTTTCAAACATTAGAAATTTTTAACAAATAGCCAAGGGTGATTCCATGAAAACATCATATTTTCATCCAAACTTGTTTTTGAATCTTTTACTTGCTCTTTTTTAAATCAGAAAAATAGTTCTGGGAAGTATTGAAGGATAGTAGAAAGTATTGTAGCTTCTTTATCCTACTACACTCATTACAAGAAATTAATGATGACCTACTGAACAAGAAATCAATAATCAGTATTAAAACTTAAAAAACATCTCTCTCTTGGGCTCACTGACAATATCTATTTTCTTAAAATATTCACAGATTTTACTCTTGCCTGTTCATTTTTAGCAAACATCCACTCATTTCAAATTACAGAATACTAAATCATTGCCACATGGGTTCAATATCTTTTGATTGCTAAATGTTCAGGTATTGAATAATAATTATTTTAAATGAAAAATCATTCATTTTTTGCAAAGTAACTAAAAAGAATAATAAAAATACATGTACAAAATAATAGTAATACATGAACAGCAAAATAATAATAACAGCTGATCGATATACTATTAAAAAAGTGTATTATGTGTATGACTTTACCTTAAGGATATTGTTCCAGTGAATTACAATGTAATTGTCCCGATCCGGCCTGTTCATCTCATGCCAGAAGCCAACGACATGTCCCAGTTCATGAATGGCTATCCCAAGGAACCAACAGCGCTGACCTAAGGACAGTCTCTGTCTTCCTCCAGATCTCCCCACTTCAGACCAGCAGGCACCGCTGGAAATTAAAAACATCATTATTGGAGACCGGATTTTCATGCAATAAAAAAAATCAAAACAAGCAAAAATGTGCAACAAGAACTAAAACTTACAAAAAGAGCTGATAAAGGATAAAAATTCGATACTTTTTATTAATATGATCTATTAGAAAATAAAACATAAAAATCGAAAAATAATAATTTTTAGTTCATAAAAACTATATAAAATAAGAATAAAATGAAAAATGGTTTTAAAACAATCCTATAAACAAGAAATATGGTGTAAATATGCCCTTTGAGCTATATTATATTTAATTGAGACAGATTGATTATGTTTCATATAAGCAAGTTTTCATGAAAAAAAAAACAAACAATAAAATTAGTTATTTTTAGTAATGTTTATTATATATCTAATATCCTATCGTCCTTTGCCTACATGTTTTAAAAGAGAAAATGCTCTTTCAACACCAACTGTAATCAGAATTTTTTTTAATGAGCTTACATTATCCACCACAACATCAACATCAGATTTTTTTTTCCATTTAGAATAGAATAGAATAGAAAATAATTTTATTCTGGGACAAAGTCTCTTTAGAATAACAAAAAAGTACAAAATTAAAGTATTATATCTGGCCTAAGTAAAAACAAATACAAAAAGTAAAAATAAAGAAAAAAAAAGTAAAGAAAATATTAGTTAATCATACTATATACAAAATAAAAAAAATCTATCTACAAAACACTTGAAACCATGCCAAGACACTTAAAACTATGTACAGTGGTAAAATATAAGCATACACTTTAAAAAAATATATATAAAAAATACATTACATTTTTCTTAGCAATAAACTCTGTGTTTCTGCATAAAAAAAAAAAGGAAAACAAGACGAATCTGATAGCGAGTATTTAAGTGATGAATTATATGTAAATATATCATTATGTGAATCATTTTGAATAATATGTAAATTTACATAGAAGATTAGCGGGGGTGTCTGACTGTTTTTGGTATAAAATTGGAATAGGAAGGTTTTAAATGTTGATAGAGAGGAAGAATGCCGAATTTTGATAGGAAAGGAATTCCAGAAATTAACAGAGCCAGCAATAAACGAGTTTTGGAACGAGGCAGATCTGTGAGAAGGAATGTAAAGGTCAGAAGGTCGAGATCTTGTGAAAAGGGAGTGGGCTGAGGATTTGAATTGGAGAAGGTTGTAGGAGTAAGAAGGACATTGATTGTTGATGATTTGATAGGGGAACGTACCTAGGAAATATTGTCTTCGAATGGAGAGGAAGAGCCACTTTAACTCAGTGTAGTGGTGAGATACTTGGGAGTATCTCGGGACACCATTTACAACATTATAACCTTTAAAATGGAATCCATGGTTATATTTTAGTACAATTTTATAACTACAATTTTTTTCTAATTCTTTAATCATTCTTTACATTTGTTCTTAAATAACCATCTTCTTCAAAAGTCTCTACTAATTTAATACATGAGGTTTTATACTCACAACTCTAAAGATGAATAAAAAAGCAATTGTGCACAAAAATTTCTTAAAATGTGCAAATTTGTGCAAAATAAAACTAGTGTCAAAAGAATGTACTCTTAATGAATCGAATTTCTGTCATGGTTTGGTTGAATTTGAAGCTAGTGAAAAAAATATGCAATGCAATCCGAAAATCCAGTTTCTATTCATGACTAAATGAAATTAGAAAAAATAATTAATAAAATTATATGTCATTATTAAGCTTTTTAATATAGAAAAAATATTATTATTATTCCTTTTTATGGGTTGCAGAGTACAAATATAAACACTGTAAGAGTGCCCTATTTTTATTTCTTTTAAGATTTAATCCTGTGAGCACTAAGCGTTTTTATTGGTGAGTGAAAATAAAATAAAAATATAATTTCAGAACATATCTCAGTTTTTATTGAGAAAAAAATATATTTTGCCTCAATTGAGGGCATTGAGTATTTAGGATGTATGAAGTATAAACATACCATATATAGAATAAAAGAAAACAGGATTATAACAAAAAAAAACTTAGAATAACAGAATAAATCAAACACGAGACAACATTAAAAAAAAAATTAAAAACATTCATAATTAGAAATATAATTAGAATTATTTTAATTAATTCATTAAAGCTGACATACTGCAAACAAATTTTATGTTTCAAATTATTTAATCAGTATTCTATTTTGTAAACTAAAGCAAATTAATTAAAAGTAGAAAAGTAATTGTATTAACTTTAAACTTTAATCTTTCATCTATAGCTGAAGATACTATATTGGGTTAAATGAAAAGATTTTCATGCCTTGATACATGACAATAAAAAAAAAAAAAAAAAAAAAAAAACTGTCCATATGAGCTGTAGTAGACATCCCGCAGTATTTACTCCTTTATGTGACATTGGCTCATGGAATGAGAAGGAATATATAATATATAGGAATGTGAGGTTGCACTGTGAATTGTACTCAATTGTGCAGTGGACAAATTGCTCATTGAAAAATCTCACATCGATAAACAATTGATGAAGAAGGAAAAAGATCTGGTCAGGTAGCAGCAGCTGGGAGACGACACCAGGCACTTGAGGCTGGACATTGAGGTGGAACACATACCTGGGAAGAGAGTCTACTACAAGATTTAGAAGATCAAGTCTATAGTTATAACACTTTAATAGAGTCAATTTATTACAGTAGTAGAAATAAATCATTTTGTTATACAGGAGTGAAAATCATTTATTTATTTAGTTGTCCTATATGCCTCACGATTGAAGAATAACAAACCAGATGAGTCAATTCATTCAAAGTGTATTTAACTAAGTCCTACATTTCAAATATATATTCTTATTGTTCCTTCTCACTCAGTGTCACAAAAGGTATTAGATTCCCGAATTCCCAACTACAGTTAAACACCCTCAAAAAGTCTATATCCTGTGCCGGGGTTTTGTTTTAATAATCACGAGTGTAAATAACCTAGTTCCCTGATACAAAAGCGGAAGGCTATTCACTATTCCCGCCAAAAAACAAACTATTTAACAATTAACTTTTAGTAGGTTATTTACAGAGCAGATAAATCAATAAAAACTGATGTTTCGAAGTATGCTAGTTAGAAAAAATACTCAATATAATCTATTCTATGTGAGACAAAAGTGAAGCTGGATTGAATTTATAAAGGGAGGTTAACATTAAAGATATCACAAATGAAAAGGTAGGTAGACAAAAGTATAAAGTAGATAAACAAATCAGATGAAATATGATTAAAATATAAAAGTTTATTCCCAGATATGAGCAAAATGCTTATGACTATAAATATTGATACCATAAAAAATTGAAATACTTTTCTAAACTAATTAAAAACCATATTTAACTAACTTCTTTGCTCAAGTCTATTCTAATTAATTTTTAACATCTTTTTGGTTCTCAATAAAACTTAATTTCTTACTGGTTGGAGTGACCAGTTAAATTAAAATGGTAAAAATAAATAATTTTATTTAGCTGTATTGAAAAAAATATGCAAAGTAAAAATAAAAATAAATAAAATTATTTATTTTGCCATTTTAATTGGACTTATCACCCCAACCATCCTCCTCTTCAATTATTCACTACAGTCAACCATAAACCCACAATTCTTAATTTCTTACATTTTTGCTGTTCAATCAAATTAATAGTTTTGTTCATAAAATATATAATAAGAATAGTACCTATTTTGGTTATTGTAAAATATCTCAACAAAATCCTCTTCCCCTGTCCACTCTTTAAATCTGACGCAGGTTTTCCGATGATAATCCTCCATTGCTGCCATAATGATCAGGCACTGTCTGGAGTGAGGGCACCCTACAGGAACAATAAATCAGAAAGTTTAATATTAAATTATAGGAAAACAAAATTGAAAATATTTAAATTGATTCAGATAATTGACTAACAAAGAAAAATAAAACAAAAGATCAAACATCTGAAGGTTTCAGAACAATCAATATCTTCGTAGAAGAATTCATAGGGCAGGAGAACCAAAATGGAGACATCTGCAAAACTAATGGCCGACTAATACCCATCCCTTTAGTTAAGGTCCAACTCTCACAGCCATATGTGAGCACTGGTCTAATGAGTGTTTTATATATTCTTATTTTGGCCTGTATTGACAACATTCTACTG